ATGTTTGTGTTTCCTTAAACACATTCATACATATGATCTTGTCCCGAAGTCTCCCGGGGAATCGGCGAAATGTCACAGGGTCTCTTCGGGTGACGTCGCCTCCTCCTCCTCCTCCTCCTCCTCCTCCTCCTCCTCCTCTTGCGCTCTGTTTGCTCCCACATTTAGTCTGATTTGATTGAATAATTCGTTTTGATTCAAACCCCACCTTTAATGCGATTGAATTCCGTTGCCTAATTTGGACTGTTCCTCGAAAGACGTGTGATTGGGAGTGATCGCGGAGTGAGGATGCAAGTGAGGAGTGTTGTGGGTTGAGAACGCATTGGGAGAGATATATGAATGAGGGCGCGTTAGAAGTTTTGGATGAGAGTGTATTTGGAGAAGATGAATGAGAGGGTATTAGGAAAAATGGTGTATTGGGATGAAAGAAAAGTTTACAATGTATTATGAATGATTTACGTTTTCCTACGACGGCACTGTCAGTCACGCAACCTTGTCGATTGTATACTGTCCTAATTAACATTGCTGTAACTGATGGTTGTATAGTACGGAAAAGGTAAACGGATTATTCATTATCATCTATACTTTTCTTTTTTTTACATTTGTAGGAATATGGTGTTCTTGATTAATCTAGGTGAGTAATCAATTTAATGGCTTTATCTATAGAGCCCTTGTATCAGCATTTTTTTTTTTATTCCGTTTCATAGTTGAGGAATTATTTTTTTGAGAGAGAGCGAGAGAGAGGGAGAGGGAGAGGGAGAGGGAGACAGGGACAGAGAGACAGGGACAGAGAGAGAAGAAAAGCTATTTATCAAACCCGTAACAGAACGACTTGCATATTAATTAGCAGTTTAGCGAGATGACACTTGACTTTGTCTCGTGTGTGTTTTGGCTATGACAGAACTGGTGATGCTGGCAGCGGCGTGTCCTGCACATAACGGCAGAAAGATTTACCTTCTCTTCCTCTCCTCTTCTTTGTTTGTTCAATCCTCCTTCTCTTTTTTTTTGTTTTTCCTTATCCTCCCTCTCTCTTCCGTTTCTCCCTTCCTTTATTCCTCCTATCCTTCCTTCATTCCTTCTCTTCCTAACTCCCTCCTATTCCCCCACCATCCACCCATCCATCCATCCAATCATCCATTCTCCCATCCACTAATCCATGTCTCCGTTCCTCACTCCTCCTTCTTTTCCCCTTTCCACCTCCTCCTCCCTCCTCCTCCTCCTCCTCCTCCTCCTCCTCCTCCTCCTCCTTCCTCCTCCTTCCTCCTCCTCCTCCTCCTTCCTCCTCCTCCTCCTCCTCCCTCCTCCTCCTTCCTCCTCCTCCTCCTCCTCCTCCTCCTCCTCCTCCTCCCCCTCCTCCACTTCCTCCTCCTCCCCCTCCCCCTCTCTTCCCCTCCCCCACCCTATCTCCTGCAGCTCCTGGAATGTCCCCGTGTCATCGTAAATGCTGTGCCCGACGGAGAGACTTAGCTTAAGTGGATTATGTGTTCAACTTTCCATATCGGCTGCACGCTAACAACGGGAGAAATAGGCTGTGTTGTATTGATCCTCCGGTGCGTGTGTGTGTTTGTTTGTGTGAGTGTGTGTGTGTGTGTGTGTGTGTGTGTGTGTGTGTGTGTGTGTGTGTTTATGAATGTATCAGTGTGGCTGTGTATGCGTGTGTGGGAGGGGAAGGGTTTGTGACGATTTTTCACTTTCTGCCGGTTGCCGTCTGACCCCCCCTCACCCTACACTCATCTCTCTCTTCCCCTCCCCCTCCTCCTCCTCCCCTTCCCCTTCCCTCTCCCTCTCTCCCACTCCCTCCCCTTCCCTCTCCCTCTCTCTCCCACTCCCTCCCCTTCCCTCTCCCTCTCTCTCCCACTCCCTCCCCTTCCCTCTCCCTCTCTCTCCCACTCCATCCCCTCTCCCTCTCCCTCTCTCTCCCACTCCCTCCCCTTCCCTCTCCCTCTCTCTCCCACTCCCTCCTCTTCCCTCTCCCTCTCTTTCCCACTCCCTCCCTTCTCCCTCCCTCTCTCTCCCACTCCCTCCCCTTCCCTCTCCCTCTCTCTCCCACTCCCTCCCCTTCCCTCTCCCTCTCTCTCCCACTCCCTCCCCTTCCCTCTCCCTCTCTCTCCCACTCCCTCCCCTTCCCTCTCCCTCTCTCTCCCACTCCCTCCCCTTCCCTCTCCCTCTCTCTCCCACTCCCTCCCCTTCCCTCTCCCTCTCTCTCCCACTCCCTCCCCTTCCCTCTCCCTCTCTCTCCCACTCCCTCCCCTTCCCTCTCCCTCTCTCTCCCACTCCCTCCCCTTCCCTCTCCCTCTCTCTCCCACTCCCTCCCTTCTCCCTCCCCTCTTCCTCCCTCTTTCTCCCTCTCTCTTCTCCTTCCCCCCCACTCCCTCTTCCCTCGCCCCTTCCCCTTCCCCTCTCTCCACCCCCTCCCCGTCGCTCTTACTGTACGTTAGTTATGGAAAAATACGTTGTTTTTGCCGCCGCGCGAAATGAGTGTGAATGGCCTTTTTATATCTCC